TCACCGCCAAAAGGGGAATATAACAGCCCTAACCAAGAGCTTTCTGCCTTTATCAGTTTGTCACAACCTTYAAGTCCCTCCAGTATCTTTTGTGTATTTAATTATCCTATCTATAGCATCTGTAGCTCATTACATGCTCTGGCTGACTGGTGCACGGAGTCAGGTTGCAACGAGGCAAAGGTCAGGGCAGCCTCCAGCCTGCACTTTGTGATAAGTTGATTATCCAGATAACAACCAACCATCCAAACACGGCGCACTTCTCTGGGGCTACACACAGGACCGGCTCCTACGTGGATGTAAGAGAAGACAGCTAAATCCCACGGGCTATCCACTATCTTGAATAGCTGGAGAAGGAAAAGCCACCCAATGGAATTTCCTACCGTGTGGTGCCCTATGCAGGGCTGGTGCTCCACAGCAGCCGTCTTGCTTTGCCACGTCTTGCTTTTAATATACTGCCCAGCATTAATCAAGCAGTTTAGAAGCATCCTGTATCAGTTCTGCAAAACAGAGCTTAAATGATTTACTGTCAGATTCTTTCAGCTCCTGTTCGACTCCTGTTTTTCTTTCATGTTGGGAAGCAGAGGTCAGCGGCCGCAGGAGGCGCCTGCTTTCGCTTGGTCTCACATTTGCTGCTGTCATTCCAGGCGCGCTCAGGTCCCTGCAGAGCCGCAGGACGTGTTCATGCTCGCAGCCTTACATGCTAATTGATTTTAGGGAGCCCATTCATCAGCTTAATTTAGGAGATCACCCACCAGGTTTGCTGTTCACTGTCAAAGGTAATTCAATTAAAACTCCAGGAGTGTGACTAACTATTCGATGTTAAATATGTTTACCAGCTGTGTTGCTGTATCTTCTCCATCTTGTTGTGTCTCCAAATGAGCCCAAGCAYGATGCGACCGAGCCACATACCATGGCAGATAAATATATAAAGCAGTTTGGCAGCAGTGATAAAAACTAAGTAGAAATGCCTTCTGTGGTTTGCAATGACATGCAARTGCTAATGTCTTAATTTAATAGCTTCAACAAAGCAAAAAAGCCTCAAGGAGATTAAAAGGCAGCAGTAGTTAAAAAGATTAAGTTAACTCTACACGTGGTTTTTAATACAACCTTCAAAGGAATCAAATTCATTTTTTCAAATTCAGTGACAGCGTGGGACCTCCCGTTCACACTTTTAACACCTAGTTTCACATTAGTCCAAAATTCATAGTAAACCCATTCAATATGATTTTATCCTATCTTGTTTAAAGACGTTTTAATTAAACAAGGCGGTGGGGAAGTTTTGCAGAATTCCTCCAGGCTGACAAGTGTCATGACACTTCTTGTCTGTCGGCCTCAGTCAATCATGTGTGGTTTGGTAGTAATTAAACATATTGTTAGTGCTTCCATTGTGGGCCAAGGGACAAAACGGTGTGTCTGCTTAATAGATTAAAGAAAAACATTTTCTGAAAGGCCCAGGTAAACAAGACACACGTCCTTTAACCTTTCCCCTCTGAGGGGCAAGGTTCACATCCCTCCAGAGCACAAATAAGTAGGAAACTCTGCTCTCCTGGCTCACACTGCTGGCGCTTCCACATTCCCTGTTAGAGGCTACACAGTCTAACAGAATTCTGTCACCGTTTGCCACGAGCTGCTGGAGCATGAGAATGACACAGGGATTGTAACGGGATGTTAGAAGAGATGCACAAGAAACTTCTAAAAACTGCTGCATTTACAGAAACTGAGATGTATTTGGTTCTGGCAACTTCCTGATTTTTTTTTTTTCCTGAATATCCAAATAACTCTTATTATATGGATCTCATTTTGTGAATTTAGCCCTAAAGAGCCAAGCCACAGACCAAGCTTCCCAATTTCCATGCAACTACAGAAAATGAAGGAGATGCAGCAGCTCTGCAAAGCCCCAGTTTTCTTGCATGACTTTTAATACTGCAAACAGTATTCAAGACGACATCCAGWTCTCTCAGATATTGCAAGACAACTTTATGAAGAGCTTGGGAATGCCTGCATCTGCTTATAATTTAAGCACAAGCTAAATGCTTAACTTTTAAAACCAAACATTAACTTTGGAAGAAAACCTTGATATTCTGTATTTACTGCTTTAAACATGCTACACTAGACAAACCTGGGGTTTGTAGAAGTATTAGACTTTTTGTACAGTATATTTGAAATGTATTTGGATGAAAAATGCCATTGTAATAATTTGTACTGACTAATATACAGTGATACAGTCCTAATGATGAGCCTCCTATCTCTACAATCTAACAAGACACATCTCTAAACACACACTTTGCATAAAGATATGAGGCAGCAGTCAAATACTTACAGCAACATAACTGTGTAGACAATGAGTGATATATGGATGCTGCCAGGAATTTCTTTTTGTTGTTGCTGTTATTGAATCTCCCTTTTCTGGCATGAATAAATTAAGGCACCTGCTATACAAATCAGTAGAAATCTGGAAAATCATTATCACTTCAGGGTGGAAACAACGTCCATCATAAAAGAACAAATGGGGCATGTAGTTTATGTGGACTTTAAAAAAAGATTTGTCAGATTGTCCATTTGTCAGATTACTAGAGGAAAAGTTGATCTTACTGTTATGGACTTCATCCACTTCCAGGTCATAGCAATTAGTTCCAGCTTTCTCCTGGAGACTGGAACTAATTTGCGACGCTCTGAACAGACCTGTCTGCTTTTCCTATGAACCTTCGTCAACCGCTGTGGATTCACACTGGTAACTGGAACTGAAAAACCATCAGTGTTAGAAACAGTGCCTCATGGTTCTAACATTAACATCTATTTTACAGAAACAGGCAARAGATTGGGGGAGTCCTGATTATGATAAAGATCAAGTAAAATATCTGGTGTAGAGGCTTAGAGATTATGTTAAAGCTTTAGTTTCTATTTTTGAAGTATTCATTATAGAATATTTAAGTTTTTTTAAGGCACTTTAAAAAGTGTTTTACTATCCTTTATGCAGCTTTTGTCTTCTATCTTTAAGTTCTCTATTTTGAGGAAATTGCTTGTGCTGAAACATTCTGAATTAGACAGCAGAAAAATCAGACCAAGCTGAACATTGTATTCTTAGCTGTGTGCCTGTTAGTAGGCTGTACTCACTATTTTAGACTTYTGTTTAAAAAAACACTGTACAAATTCAGAACATTCTAACCAGTCATGCCGACAGTAAACCATCTTTCTGAATGAAAATGCATTACTTATTATCTTAAGTCACCTCTGTCTAAATACTAGCTTGAAAATGACCTGTTTGCTGCAAGTCAGGCTTTAGCCCCTTTCTCGTGGCAAAAAAAGAGCAGGYCCAGCACTCAGACAACACTGTAAARTTTTCCAGGGTACTAGAATGACTTGGGAACCCACAGCCCATTGTTTTCCATCTTGAACTGTACATCACAGCTGATTCAGCATGACTTTCTTAATAAAAAGTAGTAAAGGTCAAATGCAAGCCTGTAAGACTCACTTACCGCATCTTCTCCCAAGTTAAAAAGGTTCAGTTGGCACTCGAAATTAGTTACAGATTGCTCAAATAAGTCTTTTCCTTTATTTGAATGGTAATGAAGAAAGCTGCTTCCGATACAAGGCCACTGACCCTTCTTGTGATTTCACTGAAAAAATACTGTTTGACAAAAGAGGAAGTACTGAGGACTACACTGCAGTTAGGAAAWGAATAGGGCCTTGCAAGAGCTTAAAGGGTTACGCTGAAACAAAAGAACTATAATACATTAAGCAAACAGAAAGGATCTTTACACCAAAATAAAGATTTCAAATTAAATCTTAACATAGGCAACATTTTTAATACAAAAATGATTTGTCATATTAAAAAAAACACTTTTCAATTGGCAAACAGTGCATATTTCTGTGTGAGGAAGAGTTATCACAGGGCAAAGACAGAACACATGTCAGCCAAGTCCCCCAAGGCAAGTTGGGGCAGGCAGAGCTCGTAGCCAAGGCTCCAGACGGGGCCRAGGGAACTTCCCATCCAGCCTCGCTACCCACAAACGGGGACCCCAAAACAGCTAACGGCTCCTGGAGCTGGTTGGGGATGAATCCACACAATCCTCTTCAAGGATTTTGAAGCACAGCAGCCACTCACACAGGCTCCAAAGAAAACCAAAGCTTCAGGCTCCCTCTGCTGGTCCCTAAGCCACAAGGGAAGGGAAAAATAAAAGCAGAGGGTTTTGTCCTGCAGGAAGCTAAAAGCCAAGAATCCTCCCACCAGTTTTCCTGTTTCCTTCTCCCCATATTCCACACTTCAAGGACAAGGGAAAGCTTCTCAGATRAAGGACATACTGCTGCATCCACACCAGAGGAAACACTTTTACTACCTTACACAATTTTAAGTATAATTAGATAGTATTTTGTTATTCTTGATCGTAATTAAATCAAGAAAAATACAGGTCAATATTTTGAGAGAATATCTGCTTTTCTTTCTCCTTGATTTCTCTCCAATGATTTAATTTCTTTTCCCCCACAAGAATCTATTCAGAAYCCTATGAGCTCTGCCTGTTCATCCATTCAACACCCACCAGCACGGAGGCAAAAACCTAGGAACACAGGGAAATATTTGGGCTGTACAGTTTTATTTGTCTTCCAGTTACACTTACAAATTGGCTCATAAAAGATAAAGCAGTTTTCAAAGTGAACCCAAGCTAAAAAAAGTTCCTCTTCTCCATACATGTCATCAGCTTCAGAATTGCTGGTTATACTAAACACAATTTCACTATCCTTGGCTTTGAGGAGCTTTGCAAAAGCAACATGACAGTTACATCCCATTTCAGTTGAGAAAGTTAAATTTCTCTTTCCTTCCTTTCTTTCTTATTTCATCTGAAGCTTTTTGTGGCTTTCAAATTTGGAATTCAAATGACCAGAGACTGTTGCTATTGTCACACTAGCAGTTGGAGACGTAATGCCAAGAAGACAGAAACGTCTCACCGCATTTTGAACCAGGCTACACTTCAGATAGGTCTGCTCAGAAACATAACTATTGAGATAGCATCTGGCAATGATGTAACATAAAAACTCATTAATCTATTTAACATGAAATTAACCTCTACWAAAATACACAGCCAACTTACAAGCCACACCAGCAACAGAGCTGGAAGTAAGAAGAGTTCAGAAAACAGACAGCAAATGTTTCTATAAAGTAAGATACAAGAGTCAAACTTGCTCAAAGAGTAACTTCAGTTTTAAGCATTTCCAAAAGACTACAGGAAATCACACACATTAAAAACAGAACTGCTAAACCTTTCCAAGCACCAGTTCTCTCCAACAAACATTTCTGGAGAGAGAAGAACGCAGTTCTCCCCAGGAGAGGGCAGAACATCTATACACAGGATGGGCTAGTACAAAATCCTGCCTCCCTTCGAGCACACAGCAACTCGCAGAGTGAAACCAGCACCGCTAAGCTTAGGTTTGTTTTGAAAACGTTTCTTCCTCAAATCAGCTAAGCCTGCCTACCTCTTAAATCATAGTTCTGCAGCAGTAAGTTAACTACAAGCCTTTACTCTTATTTCTCAATTCCTTTAGGAAAAAAATTATACTGGTAAGAGTATTCTTTTGCCAGTGTTCACAAGCCTGGGCCTTCCAGAAGACTGAAGTTATTAACTGCATATATACTGGTTGTGCATAGCCAGTAAGAAAATGCACCTTATTTGATATTTTCCTTATAGGTATCTAATCAGTTCCAACTATATCTACTTTTAAATGCCTCCAAATCCCCTATTTTCAAAGCAAAAGGCAACATACTGAGAAAAGCAAATTTATGGGCAAAAAATGCCCATAAATATTTGGGCAAAAAAAATGTTTAGGGATGGTCAGGGTAGTTCAAAGGCAGCATGATAACATATACTGTTAAAACAAGACAAACAGGAGCTTTCTTTAAAAGCTAATACCAAACCTCTACATTTATGATATTGGTCTATAAACAAACAAGTGCAATGTAGATTTTTATCTCACTGTACCACATACTACTAACTTACTGGTTACTAGCCAAGTATTTAGCCCTATATCCCTATCATGAGATAAGAAGCAATAGGTCCCTCAAAAAAGTAGTAAAATAAACTCACCAAAGCAATGGCACATCCCTGTATGAGCTAGTTAAGTCGTATGTAACTTCTGCACTGAAAATAAATGTAAATGTGGGAAAATATATATTTTTTATTTTTACAGTAATGCTTCATTATCTAACATMTTGATAAAGGTTCACATTGGCTTGAATAATGAAAGTCAACATTCAAAACGTAGCCTGGAACTGTTYTGAAATAGCTCCTCACTCCTGTACACTTTCGCAAAGAAAACCCTGCGTGATTAAAAAAGCCAAGCAGTTTCTTACTCAAACACTTCTACAACACTATAAAGACCATGTGATCCTAAAGACCAGTGAATTAAGAGTTAATTGTCACTCTAAAGCTGCATACCTTCTTCATACCACTCCTAAAACAATAAAACAAAAAAACTAAGGCCAAGGAGTCGGGGAAAAAAAAATGTTTACAACGCTATTTATCACAGGTAGTTTCAGCTTCAAATTTCTACCACCRTTTCTTCATAGCTGCAGAAGTCTGAAGCTACTGAGAAGTCACTRTATTCCCTCTTGCTGTGCAGAAACACAGAGAGGTTGAAGGAATAACTAAGCCCAGCTTCTCCATCACTGGAGTATCACAGATCACATCATCGTACCACAGAGAGCAGCACTGCGTCTTATAAAAGAGCAGCTCCTCCTAAACCAGCATAAGCKAAGACTTATCTTGAAACATTCTTATCCACTCCTCACCTCACTCTCCCCAACCTTGTACTTAAAWATCAGTGTCACCTGTGAGAGGCTGCAGAGGAAAAGCTGCTACGAGGGAGTGTCCTGGTTAGCAAAACCAGCACTAGGACCTTGAGTCACCAAGGAGGACTATGAAGACCTGAACTTGAGCAAGAGCGCTCTCCTATTTTTCATGTAGGACAGAATGTTAAAATGCACAATACTATGATAAAGCTTTTCGTTGTATGCAAAGAGTGTCTACATGAAAGAGTAACACAAAATAGAAGAAAACAGGGGTTTTCTCTGCATCTAATGACACAGAGAAGGTGGTAAAGGGGAGACGCTGAGGCAGTAGACTCGGCATTAAACCATGAGATAGCATTCAACAGGTCTGGCAAAGTGTTGGAAAACATATTTTATTCCTCCTGTACTAAAGTGATGACACCATACAAGTCCCCAGTCATAAGAAAACAACTTTTGGTAAGCAAACCATTAAGTTTGGCACTATTATTGTACATTTAAAGTGTTAAAGAAAACGAAAAAACACCTCTACAGACTGAAGTTGTTGTTTTAATATGTGTATTTTCATCAAGTCCACACTGTCCACCTTTSTGTGTTCAATGAGCCTGGCTGTGTAAGGAGGCTAGCTACGGCAAGCATCTGAACTGAAAACATCAGTTCTCCAACCATAAACAGTCTTCATAATTTWAAAAAATTCACCTCATAATTTAAAATATATCAAAGACACTCTACTTTTCTTTCAGCTAGAATGTACCAACATTACTGCTTGATTTTATGAAAGACCTTGCAAAAAATATATCAACTTCAAAATGTACAGAAAAAGATTAGAGAGCTGATACATTTGAATTACCTGATGTATTTAGAAAGAAGAGCAAGCTAGGAGTGGAGTATCATATCTTACAAGTATTTAAACACAAAAGCCACACTATATACACCTTTCTAGTGTACTGTAGTGTTAGTTACATTAAGGGTATTTTGAAAGCATGTACAAAGAACTGCAGCTTTGATTAACTTAAACTTGATCACGTAGGCGGGCCAGTCTCTGTGACAACTCATCCTGCAGAAGTGTGGGGGAAAAAAGGGGAAAAAGAATAATATGAAAATTAATTGTTGCAAAGTTTTACAATAGTAAAGCAATTTCATGTCAAGATAYATGAAAAACATTTAAGTCATAACAAGGTTTAAGAGCAGTTCGACCAGAGCTCCATCTAGCTGTCTTGTTTCCAACAGCAGGTACCTAGAAGTGAGGACCATATCCAGTATAGGTAATTTTTAGGTGTGATCTCTGGAAGCGTAAATCAGAATGGAATCCTTCTTTGGAGGTGAAAAGAAGCTCAGCTGCACCCTCAAGTGACCGAGGCTGGTACTGTTAGGAGGATACAGCAGCAGATGGAACTTTTTTCAGAGGATCTGGACAAGGCGAAACTGAACCTTCCAAGATCCTGAAACTTGTGGCACCTCAAACATTAAGTTAACATTCAATTAAGAGTCCCCTACAGCCTTCTGCACTACAACAGGATGAGGAGTCAATTGCTTGCCTTGCATGTCCATAAATATATTCTCCAGCAGGGAAAAAAGCAACGTTGCACGGATACTGAGGAGTTATCTCAAAATGTGCCTGTGCATACGGAATTCTAAGTTACCCAACTACAGAAAATAGAGACTCCTGTGCAYTGCTTTTACATCTATTACACATTAAAGAGAGAAGAAAAAGGGCTGGCTGGAAGGTGCCTGGATTTATTAGCTAGGACAAACGATTATGCTGAACTCCATGAAACACCATGCAAAACTGCATCAGAAATTTAGATATTTACTGTATTTACTCAGCAGGAAAACATATTGTTAAAATTATTTTGCTTTAAAGGCTTCCACTATGACTTTACTATGGACAGATACAATGGGATGAGAATTGAGTAAGCTTGCTTTGATCGAGTAAAGCATTAATTCTCATAGCCTGCTTCCCTACCTACTGAATCCATTATTTACCTGTTCTGCTGAGGCAACGCTTGTACCAACAGAACCTGTCTGTCCTTGAGGTAGTTCCATGTTCAGATCAAGACTGCAGTTAATAAAACAAAAGACAAGAGTCAGGTATACAAGCTCAAAGGAAGAACAGACTTGGTTGAGAAATGGCATGATATTTGAGACAGCAGGGGGTCACTTGTGTCTCAAACACATGAATACATGTAGGCAGTTGGAAAAGAAAATATGATTTACCACCRAAAAGAAATTCTTTACTATAACTAGCAACAGATAAATCACAACAATCCATCTGTGCAGTGTGCAAAGAGTGAGAGCAGAACTAGAGAAATGTTTAATGGGGAATTTTGGAGGGAGTAGGGGGTAAGAGTGAAGAGCTGTTGCTAACAATTGCTGATGCTAAAGCCAATCCAAGGAAATAATAAAAGGCAACCTTGACATAACAAGTGAGCTAAGAGCAGCCTTCTGCACAAGCTCCTCTGCACACCAGCATTTGAATGGGAGTAGCTTTGAATGGAAGCAAAATTAAATAGCAATAAAAACAAGAATAATGTCCAAGGGTGAAAGGAGAATTCTTATGTGCTCTAGCTCAGAGTTAACCTTGACATRTTGCTGGAATTGACATTTATTCAAATAATATTCACTGAAACATGTTACTTACCCTGCTTCATCTGCCATTTCTTGTAGAAGCATATCTACTTGGTTCTAAATTAGAGAAACAAAAATTCAATCAGTATCACATTGTAGCTTGTGACAAGTTCTTCCATGAAACTGAGAGAGAATGGAAATTATTTGTAAGAAAATCAATTTAAAGGGAAATATCTTTGATTGAACAACTCTGTACCGAAGCACCAGAGGGCACTATATGAACTCAAAAAACCAGCACAGCTCAGCTTGTCAAATTCCCATTACTCAAATTTCAGCTTCTGAACCATGACACTTATAGAAYGAAGCTTACATGTAGGGAAAAAATAATGTGTACTTTAATATCATAAGTATTATCAACTGCTAATTATTAACCACTAAACCAGTGTTTTACATAACACTGGAAATACAACCCCTCATATCCAATAGATATGCGTTACTGGATATGGATTTAAGTTTACTTATTTACAAACCACTAGAGTCGGAGCATTTCTCTCCAACAAAATTTCTGTTGAAATAACATTTTTTCTAAAAGGGACTTTTTTCTAAAAATCCAGTGGTGACTAATATTTTGTTAATATTAGAGAGCTACAATGGTTGATTATTTCACAGTGCATTTTGCTTTTGTAACTGAACCTGTAGCATCTTTTGGCTCCAAAGCTCATTAAGAACTCACYAAAATGCTGCCTAGTCAATAAAATGGCTGATATTTTCAATATATAATATAAAGGCTGCAAGAGGAGTGAAATTGAGCAGAAAACATTCATGATTCTCTGAATAGAAAGTAAACTAGCTCCTAAAGTACATAGCCAAAGTGAAACCCCTCCATTTCTCAAAGTAGGCAGAAAGGAAAACGAAGCAGACAGTATTTCTACATCCTTACTTGTGGCGTCGTTAACGTAGTAGTGCTGCTCATTGTGTCTTCCATCTGTTGTGTCTGAACATCTAATGTTTCAAACTGATGCTCAAATTTGTCCATTAGCGCAGATATCTGCAAAGAATAAGAATGCAGTCAGTGATCTGCAGGTAACGGACGGGCGACCACCTCAGCAGGTAAAGCTGCAATCACAGAATAACTAGACTGCTCACAACTTTAGAGCTCATCTGCTACAATGGTCACGTGGTCCCCCTAGCAGGGCCAAATCTGAAGTGAAGCCAGTTGCTCAGTGCCCTCTGAAGTTCTGAGCATCTCCAAGGATGGAGACTCTGAGCAACCTGTTCCAGGGGCCAGTACTGCTAAAAGATTTTCCTTATACTTCATTAGACCATTTCTTTTATGTAGAWCTTGCATCCACTGCCTGTAGTGGCTTCAGTGTGCACCTCCAAACAGAGTACATTTCTACTTACCTTTTCCAAGTTCATGCTCTTCAGTGTGGCATCCATAGATTTAACTACTCCTGCCATTGACTTTGTTACCTGAAATAAGGCAAAAATAMTAAATAAAAATCTATTATCAAAAAAAGGAGTGACGGCAGAGGAYGACAGTTTACAAATAAACTCTTGTTTATCCAAGAGCTCCTACAATGCCAATTAGTTGGGCAAGCATTATTGCTATCCAGAGACTTGACCTTTCTTTTTTTTTTTTTTTTAAATGCCTCCTATTTCTGGACTTTACAGATTATTTCATTCATCTGCAATAAAATTTCCAAGCTGGAACTCACTAAAGCAAGCGAGATCTCTGTGGCCTGCTAGAAGGTCTCCAGTTGGTAACTGAAGAGATGCGTATGATACTTACTATGGGATAGAATAAACCCTTTGTGTGAATAGCAGCACAGTTCTGTAAGACCATAACAGCTTACATGAGTTGAAATGGCTTCTGGTATCAAAAAGTCTTATGACTTGTCCAGCATTTGGAAAGTGAAAGGAGGARTATTCACAATAACCTTAGCAGCCCAACCAGAAAAGACTCTGTATCACTAGGAGCATGAGCAGTAAGAGACAACTAAGGTTACAAGCTACTAGACAGTGAGGAGCAATTAATTTCTAAATAGCAACTTTCAATAGAATTCTATTTCCTGAGTCACTATTGCCTGTATCCAAAAGCAAGACTTTTTGAGCTCATTATGGGTAGAATTAAACCACTCAAAGATAGGAGATCCCACCCTAAATGCAAAACAAAAATTGTGCTAAGAGCCTTACCTTGCCCATTGTCACTGCAGTCTGAACTCTGGCTGCTACAGCATCTACCCTGGCACTCATGCGCAGGAAATTGATAGCCTGATTCTTCTGTCGGATCGCATTTTCCGCATGTATCCGTGCAACTTCCATGTTACCTTTCTGGATTGCCTTTTAAAAGCAAACACATTGTAAATAGGATTTCTTGATGGCCTATTTCATTTTTTAAATAAGCATTAATCCATCTCAGTCTTTTCAATGAAAAGCAGGGGGATGAGGGTGGAAATCTTTCCACAAAAGTTTCTCAAATTTAACATGACAACTTAACCCCTTGCCAAGGGCAGAGATATCTGGCATGCAGGTCAAGTAGGGAGTTTTACAGGAGGTAAACAACGTTCCCTTCTCCTAGAAATGCTTTCAGTATTAATCATCAAATATAGATACCATTGGCATGACTATATTTCATGGACAGAAGTTAAATAAACTCAGGCTCTTTATTACTTCTAGGACTCAAACTATGATTTTGAAGTTTTTCTTCATAAGCACTYCCAAAACAAAATGATAATTAAGGCAAAATATTTGTAACTTTAGGAATAATGTAGTCTCTATCAAAATACATTCTAGACCTTTTTCTAAGGAAATAAATGCCAAAAATTGCTAGATAAAGGATACACTTATATTTAATATGTATCTTAAGTTTTATGGTCACAACTTAAATTGCAAGCTTCTATCACAATAGCAYGAGCATAAATAGCAACAAAAAATGRTAAAAAACAGAATTTTGCGCTGAAATACACAAAGAACAGATTTAAAAAGCATGCTTTCAAAATCACTGCTTACCTTCTTAATTTTAGCCTTTTCGGCCTTTTCTTCTTTGTCACATTTTTTTGAGTTTCTGCTGAGTTCTTTTGCAGCAAACTTCAAGTTAAAGAGGTGTTCTGCAGCACAAGTTAAGGGTCCAAGAACAGGATCAATAACTTCTGCATAGTGTTTTGCTCTCCTTCGGTGCACCACCAAACCTAACGTATATTCCATTTCCTTTTTAATCATATTAAAACTTGTAGAATGTGATGTAAACAAACCCTTGAAAGTCACACTGCAGGGAGATGTATCAGCTATTTTACACTTAGAGCACCTCATACCACAATCATCTAGGTTCTAAAATGTAAGGTTCTAAAGGTAATCTAGCTTCTAAATGTAAWCTCCCCAAACATAAAAAACATCTATAGAGCAGTACTGACAGGTAAACCTGCAGGCAGGACTGTCTTGTTGAGCACCAGAATGATCCCAAGTTCATACTGCCCACAGAGCTCCTTTATGGAGCAGTCTCCCAGCACTGGGTCACTCAGGTGATTCCGGAGTTCCTTGATAATCCTGTCATCTGACTTCTGGGGAAAGAACACCTGAAGTCAACAGGGAAAACTTGGGGAAAAAAATAAATAAGGGAGCACAGAAAAGTTTTTTTTCCTTCCCTCAAGTCTTGCTAACACTGCAAGGCCTAAGATGACCACAGAACAAGACTTCATCACAATTAAGAAACATTTATATTAAAAAGTTAGTGAGAGAGAGAATAAGTATGTGTTGCCAAGGACACCCCAAAAAGCASATTTAAAATTTTGTTAATGAAAATTTTCAAACAGCAGCCTTTCCCAAACAAAAATGAAATGACATGTGAGAAGTGTAGAAATGCGTACAGCTTTCTCCTTTCCATATACCCCAAAGAATGCATCAAGAAGATGCATAACAGTTAAACATAAAGCTAAACATTATGAGGTACTTGAGTTTTTTGCTTTGTTTTTTTTTTGAGTTTTTTTTTTTTTTGCATTTAAGTGTATGATTTATTATTTCAATTTTTTTTATGGCTGCTCACGTTTATGTTTCTTTGCTTTAAAACTAGGTCACTCCTTAGCGCACACACTGATGTGTTCGCAAACACAGATTAGCTAAATTAGGTAAACCAAAGCAGGAAACCCGATACTTCCAGGTTATTCATTCAAGCATACTCCAGCCCAAGCGCCCAGAATAGCTACATAAAATATGACATCACTTATTTACAGCAACTGCAGAGAAAAAAAAAAAAATCATCTTTCCAGAGCTCATTTTGAAACAACTTCCTCAATTACTCACGCGGGACGTTCACCTCTGACACCAGAGCAGCCGGCTCCGCTGCCTCCCGCCTCTCCCACCAGTGACACCAACGTCTGCTCCTCCCTGCGAGCGCCTTTCTCACCCCACAGCAGCTTGAGGGACCCCCCAATCTCGTCAGCAAGGACTCCGGCCTTGCCATCCAGCTCCAGCCCTAGGCAGTGGCGCTCGCCACCGGCTGCAAATCGCTGCTACACGCGGCCAGCCTCACTATCTATTACCTGTTAGGACCTATTTGCTTTAAAAAACTGCACATTAAGGTACACAGCAAGTTAGTTTGAAGGGTTTTCCCCACCGGTTGGCAGTTTCTTGRGCTGACAGCAGCCGCTGCTCAGGAGAGCTGCCATAAGCTTCCATTAGACTGGTGATGCTGACTTTACTCCAGGTTCAGCGCAGCATTTTTCCTGCTGGATGGCATTCCAGGCATCCCTAGGTTTTAGGCTAACACGCAGTGCTGGCAAACAGGTGTTTTCTGTGCCAGAGACTACCTATAAATGAACTGTAAGTGGAGGCCGAGCTGCTCCTCTGCTCACACACAGTGAGGCCCAAGCGCCCTGCGGAACAGGCCAGGCCTGGCACGGCTGTCGGAGCCGGGAACCTCCCTGGTTTCTTTCCCAGCAGCCAAASCCGCATTCGGGAGCTCTGCTCCCCGCGGCGCTTCAGGCTCCCTCCTCAGGGAAGGGGCTCATGGAGCCCGTGCCCCGCGGGGCCGGCTGCTCTGCCGCTGCCCCCGCGGAGCTCCCGGTTCGGCGGCTCCTGCGGGCCCGGAGGTGCCGGAGCCCGCTCGCCCTTGGCCCCCGAGGCCCAGCGGCAGCCCCCCCGCCCGCCGTTCGGCCCCAAGGATACTCTCCATGGTGGACATGGCGGCTCCGCGGCGGCGGCTCCGGCCGAGGGGAGGGCAGGGGGCGAGAGGCTGCGGCCCGGCCCGGCGCTTGCCCCGGCTCCGCTTCCTGCTTCCCGGCGCCGGGGCGGGCCCGCCGCGCGCCTGCGCGACGCCGCCGGGGCGGGGAGCACGAGGCGGTGCCGGTAGCTCATGGCGGCGCTCACGGCCCCGGCCGCGCAGCCGCCGCCTCCGCGGCCACGCTGCGCCCCGCACCTGCCCCGTCGCGCTGCCTGGTCGCGGGCGGCCGACATCTTGTGCCACGTTCAGCCCTTCCTGCCGCCGCGCTCCTCACGGCTGCCCCTCGGCATGCTGGGCCCACAGTCTCTGCTCCATCTTATTTCCTCTCTCGGGCCCTTCGTGTCACTTGTCGCACCTTCCGCCTTCGTGCCGCCTTGCCTCACCCTTGTCACCTCAAGCAGTCTGCTCACACGCTTCTCCCCAGCACCATCTTGTTCCACCTTGCCCTCTTTAGCACCATCTTACAGTCATCATTAGAAAAGACCTTCAAGATCATCRAGTCCAACCCTAAATCCGTMACCTCCACCATTCCTGCCAAGCCCTGTCCCCAAGTGCSTCACTGCACCCTTATCCGAGAGTACCAGGGCACCCGGCCCCAAGCACCATCTTGTCACACGTCTGGCTCTTTTTACCATCTCTTTTCCTCTCGCCTGCCCATTCCTACCATCCCATTTGTCCCTTCCCACCGTCTTATTTCCCACACAGAAAGATATTTGTTAAAAAAAGTCAGGATTATATTTTTTTTCCCCAGAAAAACAATTATCTATGCTCTCCCTTTTTTCCCCTCCCCTGAAAAAATATGTAGCTCAATAAAAGCATGTTTAATTGCTTAGAGTTTTATGGCTTATATTATTAGCGAACTTGGCAAAGCTAGAATATTATAATGTCACATATATTTGCTTCTAAGTGTGCACTCTCATGAAAGCATTGTATATGCAGGGCAAGGATGACACAGACTAAAGCTCTTTATTGCTCTTGCCTATAACTTATTTATATTTTCATAAAAATCTTCTGGTTTTAAGATTATCCTGTCTTGGGATGTTTCATTTGGAAAAAATGAAATACAATATTAATATATTTTAATAAATTTTAGGGGTAATAGGTTTTAAGCATGACAAGAAAATAACAAAAGTCTGATATGCTGCAGAAAACATTAAACATTTTCTATCACATGCTTTGGCTTAGTTTTTCTTCCAATATGTAAGAAACCAGTGAAAATATTCTGCTTACTCAGAAAAGCACTATTACATGTAGGTAATTAAATGAATTATAAATCTCCCACAACTTGCTATAAACTTTCCTGCCCCTATACTGAATTCCCTAGTCTCTTCTACATACACATGTGGGCTATTCTGGGATACTGTAATCGCTTTTTCTTCCTTTTGAAAAAGTAGAACTAGATTAAGCTACAGGTTTTTAATACATTGAGAAAAGAAAACAGAAAGTAACCTGCAAAAAAAAAGTTTAACACCCTCCGGATTTACTAGAAGAACTTTTCCTGGTTTGTAGTTGATACTCTGCAGAACAGAGGCTGTCATCTTCCCAACATAGTGGATGATCCATATAAAACCATTTGTATAGGGAGTTGATGCCAAACTCTATTTTTAATCACAAAAAAAAAAAAAAAAAAAAAAAAAAACCACAATTTTGCCTTCTATTGCTCATATACCAGCACACCTAAGCAGAGGTGCTGTGCTTAGTGTCCAGGGTTTCCCTTCAGGTCGCTTGGAAGGCAAAGCACTAACGAGAGTTGTGCTCGGTGACAAAGTGCTTTACATGTCACTGCCAAGCTCGTGACAGCCAGCCTTAATAAGTGATAATTCCTGCAGGAGGCTGAATTATTTGCCTGAGTCACCTTGCTGAGTCACTCCTATCTTGAGATACAAGTTCCTCCTGAAGTTATAGCCTTCAGTCAGAAGCTGTTCAAGAGCTACAGGGCCCACTCTACGAACCTGAGAGTCTGAACCAATAACTTGCAAAGAACTAAGGAGGATTCCCACTAATTGCGATTTATATTAACAAGCAACAGCATCATTTTGTGCACAGACTTCTAAGGCAAAGACTCACCCTCTAATCCAAGCTCTTCAAAGAAACGCAATAAAACGACAGCAACCTTCACCATATCTAAAACAATTCAGCACCTGGAAAGAGTGGGGATGAAAAAAGATTTTATGCCTTTATGAACTTCTAAAAAGGCAACAAATAAAGTTCAGAAGATTATCATTAACTGAAAGTCTCATTCACTTAGAAATCACTTTAAGAGAAGGTATTTCGGAATACCCTCAGCTTTTAATTAGTTACTTGTAGCAGGAAGTGAAGTTAATACTTTAGTGCTATTAGTAAAACAAGATTGGTATTTGTGATAAAATTATATAACCAGACTAGATAGGAAATACAAATTTTTAAGATATGTCTCAATATTTGTTTTATATTTATTCCTTTTTAGCATGTATTTCTTTCAACAGACATGTTGCTCTAAACAATATATGAGGCATTTACAGGAACCAACAGTGTCACTCTAATCTTTTCTGACACTAACGGACCCCTCAAGCCATTAATTTATTATTATCAATAACAATCCCACATCTGGGAAGCATCATAAGCTTAATTTCTGATAACACTTGACTTAATTCCAAACTCCTAGCTACTAAAGCCAAGAACGGTGTAATCTGCATATGTTCAAGTTCAAACGATAACTTTTTATTGACCAGAATTTGCTTGCTACAGGATAAACAGCAGCAGCGGCTCAAAACCTCACTCACAAACACGCTGTATTTTAGAGGCACCATCACTTGCACTTAGACTTAGACCAATACATTTTTTCCCCCTCTTCAAAACCAAATCTTCTGTGGAAAGTTTAAGGCTTCATTCATCATTTACTTAATTTAGATGAAACAAACAATCAGACTGGGGCTTTTCAGCTTTTAACAGATCTTTCTAGCTGGCCATGAAYCTACCTGGCCTAGATTAATGCTGCTGAAACCTAACAACCATTCTTGCTTTTTGCTGGCTGACTCACTTTGAGCACATTAGTTTTCAGGCCAGGGGAGCAACTGCATTTTTCAGACAGAGGACTTCTCTCTGTATACATTTTTTTGACACTATACAAATACTGTGCCCTTTTTCAGGATAAATCAGCTGTTTATTATGCAAATAATAAACACCCASACCCAGTTTAGTCTTATAAAGGGTGTGGGGTTTAATTAGAAGCTGCTGGAGGCAGCAGAAATTGAACAGTGATTGGAAAACAGCATATAAGTAAAAATATGATAATAAAAATAATAATTCTTGATAATATCAAAAGTTCAGTTACTATAATGAGGGAAGTGTTATTGCCTCTTGTTTAAAGACAAATCTGTGGAGAGATGCAGTAGCAATTTAAGATATTTAATAGAGAACTGGTCATGAACAGGCTACAGTTGTATGAACAGTGCTAGCAAGCGCAGCCTCCTGGAGGCTTGTGCAGGGATAGCACTTGCTTAAATGGGTAACGTTTGCCAGGGTCAGAACCAGACACTAGATCATTGATTAGCCCCTTTTTTATAATTTTACTGGAACTCATTAATTAGGACATGATATGGAGGTGGCAGCAACATTAGATAGGAACTATTAGAATCATTATCTGCTTTGAAAAAATGATTCATTATAGTGATGTCAAAGAGAAGCAGAGCTGACCTACTTATCCCAAACAACGTAGAAGAGCACAACAGAAAAACCTTTGCAGAAGCAGCAGCATGCAGCACTCACCCAAACCAATCCTGGGCTAAGGCAGCAATGTTCACATAGCTGAAAAAGGAGGAAGGCAGCTAGGATGGAATTTATTTGGCTCAGGATGCAGGGCAGCTGAGTCAAATTCCACCTTCTGTTCCTCACGATCACTGAAGAAATACCTTGCAGGTGATGGTCCCCTCTGTCCTCGCCTATTGCCTGCAGAACACCAACCTCCTGCCAAACACGTATCTTCCTTTTCTCTTGTGTTGTTCACATCAGCAGAGATATCCAACTCAGATACTTAAATCCTTCCTCTAATATCTCGCATGGCTTGGATGGAAGAAAAAACAAAGGAACAAGGGTTGTGGAGACATCAGTCTTGGYATCTAACTTGACTTGCATCTTCAAGCTCTCCATCACGAGTTCCCCTAATAAAGAGCCAGAGCAAGCTGAGAAAGATGCAATCGGGCTATGAATCCCTTGCAGACAAAGAACATTAGTACCAGGGCATTGCTAGCAGAGGAGATGTTCTTTAAAAGCTGGGTCTTAAAGTGGAATTTAACATCATCATGTTCAGAAAGCTGCTCAGGTGAATCGTCTAAAGGTGAACTTAATGAGATATAACACCCCTGAAAGCTCTTGCATTACTGCTTTCTAATTTCACATTAGTAAATTGTTAGAGAAATTAGTCTGGTGTTTTTGTTGGTTCCCACAATAATTTATTATGTTTTGTGGAAACATCCCTTTAAATGGCTGGAGCCTCCTAAGTGAGTGAAATACTTCCAGGGAATCTCAGTCATTGCCCTGACAGCCTTGTGGCTGTGTCACAAAAAAAGGGATTCTCTTGCTTTGCAAATCATTCCTAGGCATGTAAAACATTTGATTTCCTGTCGACCCAGTGGGTGATGGATGTCACCCTAAGGACCAGGTTCTCTAAGGGCAGTTTTGCTCCTGCAGCGCTCGACTGCAAAAGTGAAAACTCAGGTATCTCCTGCCACGCCTCCCCCAGCCCCTTTCCAGCTCATCCACAGGCGGCTCAGCGATTTTAAGAAGATTAAACTGCGGAGAGGATTTTAAGGATTATTGGCCTATTTATGATCAGATCCTACCACTCTTACAGTGATTAAGAAGAAAGCAGCATTACTATGGAAAGGTGCTAATTTTTTTTTCAGTGACACACACCACTGAATTTCCGTGACTAAATAAAACATAGGCAAATCCTGAAAATGCACATTACCTGTAGCCCCTTGAATTTAATTTCTTGTCTCTTTCTGTCTTTAATTTCTTGCCAGTAAGGAATGTAAGGAATCTTACAGATTTCACATATATGTAATAATTTCCATGATAATGCCATACTGGAAGTACATGARCATATATTAAATTGTGTGTTCTCTGCACGCTTTTATTTGAATTTACTATTTTATGGAGAAGGGAATAAACCTGGCAGACCAAATCAGACCTATGGAAGAGAGAGCGCTCGGACCTGGTCAGTTCTRCTCTTAGAAGGTCAATGTGCAGGGTTTAAGTTAACAGGAACACGTTATAAAAAACAGGGAGCTCCTTCTGCTCCTGCCCGTTGYTTCCTGCCCTCCTCGGCTGGCATCAAGGGGACCCTGACCCCCTTTAGGCTACTCCAATAGGTGCCTTTTCCCTTGGGCAAATGGGGATCGACTTCTGTTCCTCCTTGCACTGCTGCAGTCAAGGACAGTCCATGGCTGTCATTGGAACTGCAGAATTTACACAAAAGCTACAGTCAGGAAGCTGCCCTCGAATTCCCTAATTTACAGTTTTCAAGGGTTTTGTGGKTTTTTTTAATTATTATTAATTAGGAATCCAAATCCTGCTTTTCCACATGAAGAAGTTGCAAAAGGACTGGAAAAAGCAAGAAACACGTCTTAAATCCTCATTGCTCCTTGAAAGACCCAGTGACTACAAGCACTGTTGGTTGCATTATCCACTGATTCCCTTCATTCCCTTGGCGCAGGAGCTTGCAGTGCAGGTCRCTGCAGGAACACTTGTGGCCTTGGAGATGTGTAATTCTGTCACCAACACCGTTCAGGCCTCGGAGGGAAGCGTTCCCACCCTGGCAAGTATCAGCACCGCATAAATGTCTCACCTATAACACACCAGGCTAAAACAGGGGATGCAGCTGTGTTGCCCTTAGGTTATTTTCGGTTCAGGTCCACTTTGGTAGCACTTCTGCCCTGGTTGCAGGGACATCACTGACAGGAACTCAGCACTAAGACCCCTCTCCTGCCTTAGCTACGAAAGGAATATTGATAATATTGATGGCTGAGTCACTCCTGGCACCTGAAGGGCCCCSTCTTCGAAATGAGTAACGCTGTTGACTAATCTCTGAGCTCTCGGAATGGGCTTWCTGCTTCCCTGCCCCAAACGGAGGCACCCGCTGCACCCTTCGCTTTGCCGAGAGGAGATGCGCTGGGTGCCTTGCTGCAGCCCTGGGTGTTTTAGGAGAACAGTGCCTCGCTTCCAACAGTTTATAACAGGTTCCAGGACCCCCGTCTGCTCCATAGCCTGAAATCAGAACACGCTCCCCGAGTGCCTTTCTGCTGCTTGTTGTGTTTCAGGGCTTCGTTGTAGAGCCTTGGTCACCTCATCCTCTATGGACTTCCCCCCTCTCAGTTCCCCAAACTCTTCCCAAAGAAGCAATTTAGTTGAAGTCTYGCTCCTGCTACCCCCTTAGCTTCCCTCCTACACAACCTCCAGCTCATCTCTGATGCAAGAAACAGTTTTTCCCTTTAAATTTTATTGATTTGTGAATTAAATGTTGCCTTCTCCATAGCACTTCTAGGAAATAAAACTGACAAACTAAGCTGGATAAGAGGGTGAATTAAAAAAAAAAGAAAAAATATGCTGAAAATAAGAAAAAAAWCAGTATTATTAAGTGCTGACAAACTGCAGTAAATCCAATTTCCAAACATGATGGAGGTGTATGGATTTGCTCTATTAATGCATACACTTATAGCGTGGTGGCGGCTTTCAGGATATGACTGAGGCAGTGAGGTTTAAAATACTCATCAAATAAACAGCATTTGGCCCCTCTGACTGTGGTCATTTGACTCAGCCTTTCTGCAGCTCTTAGTTTTTACTCTTTCTCCTTCATCTCCTTTTTCCGTCTTTTCTTCCCTTTCCTCTGTGCTTCAGCAGTACCTACTGCTTGTTTATGAWGAGCTCCTCATCATAACCACTAACCAAGTGTCACAAATACTAAGTATTTGATGCTTTTCAGCCAAGGCTATAAAACTGGATGTTAATTTTCATATTCTGTAAGAGGAAACAAAAGCACATTTTACTTTCCTGATACCTAAGGTCCACAGTGTACAGAAACGTTGCCTCCTGAAATGAAATATTTATAACGTATTCCAAACCAAACAGGACTTTACCATTACAAACCCCCGTGCATTTTGCTCTGCAGGGAGTTCGATACGAGAGCAATATTGTCACTGCTTGGTGACATTCCCACAGCGCGTGATGGTGGCAGGACGGAGCCAAAGGAGCTGCCGGCTCTTGGTTTGGGAACTGGGAAGCCAGGAGTATCCTGCAAAGAGGATCAATTTTAATCACAGTAATTGACCTGTTCACTTAGTCATTCACAATGTCGGGCATGATGAGCAAAAGAAATGCAACTTTAAAGGAAAAAAAAAAAAAAAAACGGGGTAGATTCAGAGCTGAACCCTGGACAAAGTAGGTCTTTACTTACCAAATACCTAGTAAAAGCAATATAAGGATTTGGTTCACGTTGCATTTAGAGCCTACACATCACAGAAAGAAGTTAAAACAATAAAGGTGTTGGAGAAAGCGGGATATTTGCTAGCCAGCACATTTATAGATGCCCGAGGCCGAAGCCGTTGGCCACGGAGCGCTGGATTACGCAGCCCTGCGAGGGGGCCAAGCACTTTGGCCTCCCCGGGCCTCTGGCACGGGCGCCCCCGGTCCTTGCCCACTTCCCGCTTGGCTCCTCTCGGAGCAGCGATACCCATCGCAGCAGATGGAAGGTTTCTGGTGAGGGAATCGCRGCGAGAAGCGCTGGGGGGAGACCAGGTTTCGCCTCTGGGGAGGCAGCACTCGCACACTGCCAGGAATACACCTGCGTCCCAAGCCATCAAGAGCAAATTCCACTGGATTCACCATCCCTGTTCCATTTGATGTAGGGAAGAAACAGAACCACCATGTAAAGGTTTCAGTAAGGAGGGCAAAGTGTTTTTTTTTTTTTTTTTTTTTTAAACTAAAGTCTGAATTAATCCTGAAATTGTCAGCTGAAATAATAGCAGGTTTTGCAACCTTCTAGCTGGCCGAATCCTTTATTTGCTGTGAATAATTGGCTTTCATTCCAGTATTTCACCCTGATCAAATTAATACTTACATGATTACAACACTTCATGCTAGAAGAATGGTTGAAAACCTTCCACATCATGAAAAAAAAAAAAAAGAAACACTGAATAATAGTCGAGCTTGGCCTGGTCATGAGATTCCTGCTGGAGAGCAGGTGAGGGCAGGGGCAGAGCTCGCTGGGGCCAGGAGCCTTGTGCCCATATCCCTGGGCCAGCAGCGATGAGGAGTGATGCCCACCAGCTTGGGGATGCAGCCCCTTGGCCTCCCTCCATCAGCTGCAAACCTGAAAATACAGCTACTTTTCTCCATGCAGACTCCATCTGACCATGCCAGCAGTTCCTGTATCCTGTTCCTGGTGCCACACATGGCAAGCTTTCTCCTACCAGTCCTTGGTTTTGATCCCCCTACATGAAAATCCAACCCCAGGTCACTTTGGGTGGCAAAGGGTTTAACAGCTGTTAGCAATGAGGAGGATCAGACCTGGCTTCACCTGGAGCTCTGCAGCTCCCAGGCTTTGTGAGTGATCTACGTTGTGCTGGAGGCTGCGTGGAGAGGAGAATAACGTGTCACATTTGTCAAGCAGATTCTAGGTCCTGTGGTGCTGGAAATCAGATATAAAGACTTGTTCCTGAGTTTCTCCCTTGCTCCTGTGAAAGCTACTTTGAGCCAAAGCCATGAATTTGGCTTAGAAGATGTTTTTTTAAGCTCTTAGTCCATGT